ATTCATGTCATGTGTGTTGGGAGCTAAATGTATGTGCATGCAAAGATCATTTACAGTAACAATGTTACCATTGAATTTAAAGTTTTCCTTGGAGAAAATGGCATCTTAAACCATAGTCTGCTGGTCTTTGCTGGTTTATGATGGTCTTAGGTGGTTGTCCATCTGTTCTGCCAGTCTGATTAGTAGAGAAGTGCTCTAAACCTCTCTAAAAACCTGCAAAGAGATTAGTCTGAGCAGGCTTGGAGACCAGCTAAGAGTTTAAGATGTTATTTTTCTAGGCTGTATTAAAGTCTGCAACACCTCTGTCAGTTAAATCCAACTGTAATTCTGAATCTAGAGGTTTTAAGATATATATTAATGTTTACCCGCTGAAAATGTTAGCTTAAACCAGCCAAAGACTTTGTCTTTTATAATGGTCTTAGATAGTCATCAATCTGTTCTCCAAGTTTGACAAGCAGAAAAATGCACCAAACTTTTCTGAAACCCAGAAGACCGGCTAAGACCAGCAAACCAGTTTAGGCTGGTTTAAGATGTTTTTGTTCCAGGTTATGTAGAAATCTGCAGTACCTCTGTTAATTTAATCCAACTGTCATTCCAAATCTGCTAAAAAAGTTCTAAAATGATTTACTGGTCTTATCTAGTTTATAATGGTTTTAGCTGGTCGTCCATCTGGTCTCCCAGTCTGATTAGCTGAAAAGCACTCATAACTTCTCCAAAACCTGTCAACAAGGCTAGGAGATCAGTTAAAACCAGCAATCCAGTTTAAGATGGTAAATAGATAGAAGATTTACCCTGCTGCTAAGGTCATCTTGAACCAGTCTGGTCTATAATGGTCTTAGCTGGTTGTCTATCTGGGCTCTCAGTCTGATTAGCTGGAAAGCCCTCATAACTTCTCTAAAACCTGCCAACAAGGCCAGCTAAAACCAGCAATCCAGTTTAAGCTGGTTTAAAATGTTAATTTGTTAACTCTGTCAATTTAATCAGACTTCAATCCTGAATCTTCAAATTTTAAGATATATTTTAAGATTTACCCTGCTGAAAAGGTCATCTGGAACCAGCCTAAGATGGTCCTGCTGGTCTTCGCTGGTTTATAATGATCTTAGATGGTTGCCCATCTAGTTTCCCAGTCTGATTGGCTGAAAAGTGCTCCAAACCTCTCTAAAACATGGGGACCAGTGAACCAATTAGGCAGGTTTAAGATGGGGTTTTTTTGCCATGTTATGTTAAATTCTGCAGCACCTTTGTCAGTCAGATTGCAATTGCAAAGAGATTTTGCCCAGTTGAATCAAACTAGTCAGATCTTTAACTTTCTTAAACTACACTAAGATGTTTTGCAGGTCTTAGCTGGTCTGGTTGAGTGGTTTTAGAGGTTTTTTTTGTGCTGTTATGACCTACCTTCTCAAGCCACGTGATGGCTTTTCATTCTGATTGCACTATTAGTCAAATTATTAATGAATCATTAGGCTGCATGTAAACTTGGCAACTGTGGTTATTTGTCAAAAGTTGCGTTATTGTGAATAGCATGAAAGGACAGTCGTTTAACTTGATTGCTTCTGCAGTTTCCACCGTTTCTGCAGAGTCTGCAGAACGCCGCTCTACATCCTGTTGGTAACATACATAACACTATATAAATGTGTACAGGGAGGGATGAGGTAACTTGGCAAGCCCACACGTAACCCAAAGAGGGAGAGAGAAAGATTAGAGAGCGTTAGGAGCTATGTGTGATCCGTCCTCGGGAGCTTGGGATGTTTCAATAATGATATATGAGCACTTGGCCTCCTGGGATACCCAGGATGTAACCCAGATTCTGTGCTCGGATGTGCGAGAAGACGGATGACTGTGTTGTGTGTTTTATGTGTTTTATGTGTGTGTGTGTATGTGTGAGAAAGCAAGGCATATCTCAGTGGTACGTGCTGCCATCATGTGTCAGGTAGCCTGCTCTGTTTTAGCAGTGAGCTAATGCTAGCCTTTCAGTCCCCAAAATAAACATATTCAATCAGTATTTGTGTATATTACAATTTTCTACGTGGCAGCTACACATTTCATTGGCTTCCATTGCTGCATGAGTGTTTGACCCAGCACAATCTGTCACAGTGAATTTCCTCCAGACTGCTTTATTCCAGTTTGAGCTGTCAGGAGTAAAAGTGCTGTTGTTGCTCCATCTAGTGGCTGCAACCCTACTTTGTCAATAAAATACGTTAAAAATAAAATAAAATACAAATTTAAAAAAAATTATTTGTACTTAAAAAATAAAGTACAAATAAAATAAAAATAAGGTACAAATTAAATACAAAAATGAAAGTACAAATAAAATGCAAAAAAATGAAAATACAAATACAATGCTAAAAATTAAAGTACAAATAAAATACAAACAAATTAAAATACAAAAAAATGAAAGTACAAAATGAAAATACTAATAAAAAATGAAAGTAAAATAAAACAAATTGATTAAATTAAAAGTGCTTCACGATGCCATAGAAGAACCTTTTTGTCTAAATGGTTCCATAAACCGGCGAAAGAAAGTTCTTCAGATTATTAAAAAAGGTAAGAAAGAGATCGTTCTATAAAGAACCTTTGACTGAATGGTTCTTTGTGGAACCAAAAATGGTTCTTCTAATCTATGGCATCGCTGTGAAAAACCTTTTAAGTACCTTTATTTTTAAGAGTGTACAGATAAAATAAAAAAATAAAATACAAAAATAGAGTATAAATAATAAAAACCAATAAAAAAGTGAAAATCTTAATAATAATATAATATTGCTTTTAGTGATTTAGATTGAAATTAACTTTAATTTTGATAAGGGTATGTTTGTCATGACGTTGGCACAAATTTTGGCATTATATGCAGATTGGTGAAGCTCAGCAACTTTTAGACTCAGTTTTAAAAGATGCCTGTACTTTCAGAAAGAAAGAAAGAAAGAGAAAAAGGGTGCCAACACGTACCACATAATTAACTGCAAAGCAGGCATGCATGAAACATCTGAAGTATTCACGCCTCTGAAAAAATCCCCCATGTGATCGTAGCGACATTTATCGCGTGGCCTACGTGTCTTTCATCTGTGAGCGGGGTTTGGGAATATCATGTTCCTCCTGAGTCACTTTAATAACAAACCATGCTGAGCTCAATGGAAACGTACAGGAAAGACTCAATGAACCTGTTTGTTATGAAGTTGCTCAGTGCAAACTGCATATTAAAACCACAAATGGTGCAAATTCTTCATTTGGTTTTGTTATGAATAACTGGAATATTTGTTTTGGGTTACTATTATTTATTAACTTGAGATGTTTTTAGTGATCCAGTGTTTAAGTGGTCCAAGCATTTTTCATTTGCTTTCATTTTTTTCTACTGCAGACCAACATAAAATACCATGTGTGAATGCTTAGATCATCTGCAAACGGTTAAACACTGTATGCAATGTAAATACATAAAACAGAAGGACCGCACATAAATGTGCATTTTATGACATTATTAGCTACAGATAAGTTTAAAAACACATTTGAGAAGTTTAGATGCCCTTTGAATGTCCTTAGATGGTAATACAGTATCCTTTTTCTGCTCTTCCAGTCACCAGACCAGCTCTAACCAGCATAAACCAGCTTGGTTCAATGTGTACATTTATGCTGTCCACTTAAATACACCGAAATGTCAGAGTCATAGTAGACTGGATCATATGACTGCAGCAACACACACACACACACACACATCTCTATTACACACTTGCATATAAACAGAGATCATGCATTTGCCCACAACTAAAACAAGCACATGCAAAGACCAACACACTGGCAAATTCAATAAACAGTGTTGTATTTCAGCTCAAATTATGCGTCTGTCTCACTAAATACCCATAATCCAGTTCAACGAGGCGTAAAAATCGTGCCATTCTTTTGAGCCCAAGCACACCATGTTTCTATGTAAATTAGGCTCATTATAGATTGCACCGTATTCACATATGGACTACTTTTATGGTACTTTATGATGTTTTAATGGCATTTTAAAGCTTGAGTCAAAACTCATTTTGTGTTTCACCAGACATGATTGTGAGTAAATGAGGGGAATTTTCACTTGTGCATAAACTAAGGCTTTTAGGTATGAATTACTTAGAGTTATGTTCACAGATCAGAAGGGCGAGAAGCCCCGTCCATTCCCCAGCCCTCGTATCTCTCCCTCTCTCTTTTGGGAACAGAGACATGATGGGATTGGCAGGAAATGTCACGTCAGTCACACACATCCCCAAAGAGACATGAAATGCAGCTGCGTCCTCAGTGCATTCAACGTGCCTTTGTATGAACCCAGTAAAACATTACATAAAGGTACAGTACCAGTCAAAAGTTTGGACTGAATATTGTTCCTTGTGATACTTTTTAATACTAAGGCTCATGAAGAAATTCTTTTGTATACAGTCATAATTGAACTGTGCTTAGGTGTATGAATTCGTTTGCAAAAAAGGTCACACTTTATTTCTAAGGTCCAATTCTCGCTTAGTTAAGTATTACATTAAAAGACTCCTGTTTTAAATGGGACTTTTAATGGGAACACAATTGAGAAGAAAGAAACAAACAAAAATGCCTCTTAAACCTCATTTTGTCAAGTGATATTGGGCCCATAGAATCACTTTGTGTCACTTTTCGTTTCGTCTCAATAAACTACTAATTTGCTGCTTATTAATAGTTAGTAAGGTAGTCAAGTGTAGGATTGGGTAGGATTAGGGATGTAGAATATGGTCATGCAGAATATGTGCTTTATAAGTACTAATAAGCAGCCAATATGTTAATAATAGGCATGCTAATAAGCAACTAGTTAATAGTGAGAATTGGTCCCTATACTAAAGTGTTACAGCAAAAAATATTTTGTGTCATTTTCCAGTTAAAATATCTTAAAATCCTTAAAACAAGATGAGTTTCCTTAAGAAGCAATAATGCATAATATTAAGAGACTGTTTTTTTTATTTTTATAACAGTGTATTTTGTCCGATTTTTTATTTTTATTTTATACTTATACACGATGCACTATAAATCAGAAGTCTTCATATCTTATGCACTGTTGCTTGTGAAGTAATCTTATCTTATTTTATGAATTTTTGGATATTTTTACTGGAAAACAAGGCAAAAAAAAAAAAGAGTAATTAAAAACTCAAAAACTCAAAAATGTTGTATCTATACTTTTGACTGGAACTGTATATCATGGAGATATATCTGTGAAAGCAATTGTTGCCTTTGACATTATAAGAATGTTTTCTGTCATTTAATTATATCACAAAACTGGATTAGCACATATCCACTATTCTAGTTTGAGTTTAGTATTATATTAAAAGACTCCTGTTTCAAATGGGACTTTTAATGGAAACACAAGTGACAAGAAAGAAACCATCAAATCTCATTTTATCAAGTGATTTTGGGCCCATAGAATCACTTCGTGTTACTTTTCATTTCAGAGTCGCACATAATTTGACAACCTTTCAAGAACTTCCTGTCTGGTCTCAGTCCACATCAACAGCCACATCCAGACGTTGCTTCATACCCTGGCTGCACCACCAGCACAGAGAAAACAGATAGAGGGCCATGCATGTTGGCAGGTCGTAGAGATACGCCGTTATGAAGATCACAAACAGAATAGCATACACAAGAGCCTTGGCCATGTGACCCAGCGAGCAGAATTCTCTCAACAGCCTACTGCTGTTGCCGCCCACCCAGGACAGGTGAATGCTGGGTAACGGCGTGGAGAGTTCATCCTCTCCGTCCAGTCGCTGGGGTTCTTGAAAGTTTCTGAGGGTCTTCCCAAGCTCAAAGTCCTCCTCTGCAGAAGTTTCCTTTGCAGATGCTGTCCGAAGGAGGGGCCTGGATGGGTCAGTGCTAACAGTTGGATAGGTAGGTAAGTGGGTGGGTGCAAATGTGGTAGCATGAATCTCAAACTCTTTCTCTTCTCCATCTGTGCAATTGTCACCCACTGCTCGGGAGTCCTCTATAAGCTCTTCTGAATGCATTTCATCCTCTTCAACACTAGCAGCTTCTATAGTCGTCTCATTCAGTCGCTCCTTCATTTTAAGTCCTTCGTTTGTCTCAAAACGCCTCTCTTCATTTTTCAGTAGCTCTGAATTGTCTTTGTTAAAACTCTTGTTCAACGTGCATAATTCGTTCTCATTAAATGCCTCACTCTCACACGATGAAACGCTCTGTATTTCTGCGCTGTGATCCGTAGTTGTCTCATCTTGTCCTTTTCTACTGCTTTCCATGTCCTCTTCATGTAGTTCTCTACAGAACGCCCTCATTTCCACCTGCTCCTCGCTAGCATCTTTATTTATATCCTTCCTTTCTGAAGAAGATCCCTCGGCCTGTCTATTTGTGAATGGCACATCCATGATCCCCGTAAATGTCAGGGAGTCTTTGACCGCTCTCTGTGTGTTTTCTTTAACCTTTGAGGTGTCGGAGCTGCCTGTGCATTCTTCAGGTGAGATTCCATCTCCGGCTTCTGAATTCTGAGTCTCTGTGTCACGTGCGGTTCGAGTTTCGTCCCCAGGGTTTGCTTTGGTCGTGTCTTGACTCAAAGATCCGCTTGTGTGCTCTTGATGTGGGGCTTGGCGGTCACGAGATGCCTCTAACTCGCTTCCCGCCCTCTCTGGCTCCGATCCCTGGGCAGAACATGGTAGGGTAGTGACCCTTGGCTCTTTCACTAGTTGGTAATCCACAACCTGATCTCTAGGACTCGTGCTGAGATCCTTTGATTGCTCTACGGGATTAGATTTTACAGTTTCCATTGCTTTCCTGTCAGGAGACTCTTGACTGTGGTCTTTCTCAGCTCCCTTGTCCTCCATTGGGACTAAAACTTCTGACTCTGGACGAACACATACTTGGTGCTGCATATCAGTGCTGTTAAGAAAAGTTTCCCTGGCCCCATAAGCAGATATGGCTAGGCGATCTTCAACCTGATGTCTTGTTTTACTGCAGGCATCTGGAGGGTTTGCTTGGGGGGGTGTTGTTGTGGTACTGCTCCAATCCAGGGAAAGCAAAGGGATCTGGTGGTACATTAGTATTGGTGGCGTGTCCATACTGCATCCTTGTCGGCTGTGGACAACTGGCAAGTTAGTTCTACTTGGTATAGACAGCTTTGGGATGGATGTGGTACTTTCATCTGTGTTGGAATTACATCCCATCTGGGTTTCCATTGCTTTCTGAGCGAAGTAGTCCTGTACGCGAGCCAAACGAGCAGCTTGACGTTTCCTACAACGATCCACCTATCAAAAAAGAGTGAAAAAAGGTGGTTTTCAACAGACTTTATTATGTCATGTTTGTAACAAGAGTCACTTATTCAGTGGAATATAATGTTGCAAAATGCATGAATTTATCCTTACTAATAAGTTTCTGCTTTGCATTTAAAGAGATTGTTCATCCAATAACGCTGTATATTTATCAGTAAACTACAAACTGGCAAACTACCCCTTTTATGGGTGGACTACCTCTCTAAATGCCTGTCTTTGTCTCTGAACCTTGTCTCTGAGCACTCATTGACCCTACCAGAGTTTTGCAGCAGTCCTTTAGGGATTTGCAGGAATTGATTCCTGCTTCTTTCTCTGTTTTGTTCTCCCTAGTATGCCCGACCTTGGGTGTGACTTGTTCTGGGAAAAAAAACAAACAAACTCAAACTCGGTCTCTCATCTTCAGAATCAAAGTTCCCCATTCCCAGATCTCCACATAAGAAACCCACCTGAGATCTCACCACTCGCCTCTGCAGGTGTCGCGTCCGAGTAGTTCTTTTTACTGTAAATATAAAGCAGGTTTTCAATTATACTCACCAACCATATGTTCAAACATACAATCTCCAGTCAAAACAGAGTGCTTGATTGGACAACCAGAGAAATACGTCTAGTTTTATTGGGAAATGAGGTATACATTTAAACAAGTTTAACCATGTTTTTTTAGTATTGTAAGGTGTTCTGAGTCATTTTTAGTGCTGCCATGCAACTGGTAGGATGTTTTGGATGGTTGCCAAAGCTTATGCTGTGCGATTACCCTCCTGCATTGCAACTATTTTGTTCTTTCAGTGTACATATATGGTATTTTTTAGACAGTTTTATCATTTTTAAAAGGTTAGTTCACCCAAAGAATACAATTCTGTCATTAATTACTCATGTTGTTCCAATCCTGTTAGTCCTTCGTTCATCTTCGGAACACAAGTCAAGGTATTTTTATTGAAATCCAAGAGTTTTCTGACACTGCATAGACGGCTAATCAACTGAAACATTTTTTTGCCCAGAAAGGTAGTAAGAGCATCGTTACAATAGTACATGTGACAGCAGTGGTTCAACCGTAATGTTATGAACCTACGAGCATATTTTTTGTGCACAAAGAAAACAAAAATAATGACTTTATTCAACAATTTCTTCTCTTCCATGTTACGTCTATCCGTGTGCATTCCTCTGCTTGCAAACAAGTCGCAGCGCATGTGGGTTCTACGTCAGAACGCCGGCTCTTACGCATATGTCGTGGTACTCTCGTCAATGTGCATCGACTGACACGGATGAGAAGAAATTGTTGAATAAAGTTATTTTCGTTTTCTTTCTTTTTTTTTATCGTACATTACGGTTGAACCACTGATGTCACATGGACTATTTTATTAATGTCCTTACTACCGGCCTTGAACGTGGTAGTTACATTGCTGTCTATGGAGGGTCAGAAAGCTTTCAGATTTCATCAAAAATATCTTAATCTGTGTTCTGAAGATGAACGAAGGTCTTACAGGTTTGGAACGACATGAGGGTGAGTAATTAATGACAGAATTTTCATTTTTGGGGGAACTATCCCTTTAAGGCTAGAATTGTAAGTGTGATTACTTGGTAAAAGTAGCAACACACATTTCTTCAACTTCAACACATCCGAATTATACGCCAAAGTTCAAATCCCTAACACTAAGTATGAGTAATAGTGATGATTCTAGTGTCTGTTTTTGCAGTGCTCCCCACCTGATTGTTTTAAGGCAGCTCCTGATACTTTTTTGGTTACTCTCCTCTACCAACTTCTCCTTTTCACTCTCTTTCTCTTTCAGATCACTTCTTCGTCTTTGGTGGCAGAAGACAATGTAGTTCGTCCCTCCATTGTTGGCCCAGAAGTTTCCAACAGCACTTTCGTACCTCAGACAGAACTCCACCCGCAACCCTTCGACCTGGAATGGAGGCGTCAACACGAGGTGGAAAGAGAAACAGTCAGTCTCGCCATCGCTGGACCCAGGCATGTACTCCGCCATCAGGTCAAAGTGGCTCTGCCAGCCGTCCAGAGTGACGCGGATGTAGACAGCCTTGTGGAAGCAGAGGTTAAGCACGCGAACGATGCCCCGGATTGTGGTGGATCCAGAGAGCAGTTCGATGCGCTCCAGTTCCAGCTTCTGCTGCTGAAGTCTCACCTCCATGTCCTGGTGCAACGCTGGGACATTGAAGAGGCATGAGATGTAGTACTCCTCACCCTCTCTACCATCTGCATCCAGCCTTGATGAATCCCGGTTGTCATACTCCTTCACAGAAACCAGGTCCAGACCAAAGGCATCCGCAAACGACACCTTTCTTCGTACGGCTACCGGTGGGGGCTCGGGTTCCAACTCCTCGGATTCATCTCCAGAGCTTCCTTCTAATGCCGTTTTCTCCAATTTTACATTTTCCTTGTTGTTTTTCATTGTCCAGTCACTATAGATAGGAGGCTCCAGGTTGCAGGAGACCATGGAGAGTACAAGCTCTTCCCTAGACATGCCTGGGTAATGCTGGATGGGTAAAGTCTGAGAGAACAACACTAACCGCCTGGAACCCTCACTCACAACGTGACTAGACACAGAGCGTCAGGTTGCAGCTGAACATTGTGTGGTTGCCAGGCTTAAAAATAGCTGCGGGTGCTACCAAACTATGCTGGTCTTCCTGGTCACTAGTGTCTGGTAGACGTGTGACACTTCGATGTGTTCATGTCGTCTGTTGAACTCTGCTGAACCTGATAGCTTCGATTAAATGCTTTTGAATTATATATGTGTATCTGTTCCGAAACAACACAATGCTTCTGTTTGGACATGTAGAAGAGACCGGGGCTGGTTGTCACATGGGAAATTGGCTCAAGGGGCGATATCAAAGTAACTACAAGTTTTAAATACTTCTGTTTTTTTACATGCATATTGGTTTCAAACACCTTGATGAAACTGTCTTAGAGAATAAAGACAGATTTTTGTGAATTCTGTTCTTCAAACAAAATTTTGCAGTGGTCATATTTTATGTCTGTTGGCAAGTGAGCACAATAATAACCACACTGTCATTACATTCAAATAATATAATGATAATATGTCAGGTTGAGAAATGTCATGTTTTTTACAGTTTATATAAATCAGTAATGATTATGTCTTCTGGACAAATATTTTATTTTATTGTTTATATTTTGACTGTGTTTTTTTATTTTATATCAGTTTTACGGTTTAAATTGAGTTGAAAAGCCTTTCAGTCTGTAATGCATTTTAAATGCATATTAAGATGGCTTTTATTACATTCAGATATTTCAAAACAAAAGTATTTTATCTAATAATTGTCAGTGATCAGTAGGTTCCCATTGTGACAACCTGCTCTGCCATGGCACATATTGCCACACAAGATCAGTTTGTGTTCAATAAACTGTATGTTTATTGAACATATAAACATACATATAAACATACTTTATACATGCGATGGCGCCGCAGACGGCAGCCTCAGTGTTTGGCTCTCGCTGCTGCGCTGATCAAGTGCTTCATGACGCGCAGATGGGGGAAGCGAGCCGGCGCGCTCGTGAAGCTCAGGAAGCGCTGATTCAGAACGCCGTTGCCTAGCATCCATATGGCGAACCTCGCTCTCTACCCAACGAACCGGACGAACTTCTTCTGCTCTCCCGGACAAATAAGGATTTTTCACACTCTGCTGCTCTGTGTTTCACAGAAACCTGGCTGAATGACGCCATTCCAGACAGCGCGTTGAGTCTCCCGGGCTTTCAGCTGTTCAGAGCGGACCGCGACGCAGAATCAACGGGGAAATCACGCGGCGGCGGGACATGCTTTTACTACAATTGATTCTTTTTGTGTGGTTTATATTTATGCATGTGTATTTTATTCGCATCTCATTTTTATTATCTGTGTGTTGTTGTTGTCTCCGTGTACTGGAAGCTTGTGACACTATAACAAATTCCTTGTATGTGCAAACATACTTGGCAATAAAGCTCTTTCTTCTTCTTCTTCTTCTTCTTCTTCTTCTTCTTCTTCTTCTTCTTTTATATAGCCAAGAGGTGAAGGACTGAAATTGACTTTAGTAAATATTTTTATTTCATTAATTTATAAAAATGTAAACTTTTTATTTTATTTGTATGTGCTTTTGCCTTTATTGTATAGTTATTTAATCAATGTAGATCTTTGTCAGTTGTGAATTCCAGAAAACTCTGCTGGCTTTGCTTTCAGTGTTTTTGTGCATTATCACGACTGACCACTAGGTGGCAGCGTCTAACCAAAGTTGTGCACACTGTTTGTTTCTTTGAGACTCAAAAGTGGATTCCAAAACATTCCAGTAGGTGGCAGCAAACCCTTATGGTTCACGCAGTCTTCTCAAAACGTTTTTCCTTCCCTAAAATTCATATAGAAAATGCACGTGTTTTTGATTTCTTTGTGATAAAACCCATAAAATGGTGCATTTTCTTAATTCAATCTTTTATTTAAATGACATGCATGTGGTGAAAAGAAGGCATCAAATATTCTATTTCTGATCAATTAACAAAAAATTCCTAACACCTCTGCAGACATCTGACAGATATTTGTTATCAGATTTTGGAAGTGTTACAATGTTCTAATAAAACTAAGTCAGAATCTGCTATGCAGTGCATTTATTTAAATATGCATGAACAATATTTTGATGATATGCAAATATACATGTTTTTTTTTTTTTTACATGACCATCCATCCTTTATACAAATTTAATATTTAATACAGGTAGTTTTTGATACCACAATAGGTAATGAAGATAGTTAATTCAGACAGAGACAAGGATAATTAATTCACAAAGGGAGACTTGTGATTTTATCAAATCTTTGATCTGAATATCATTTCCCCCCTGTTTTATTCATATGAAAATTTCAAGGCAGTAGCACACAGTTACAGTACACATATGATGCATAACTCACCATTACAGTATGCATATCAACTAAAGAGCTACGGTAATTCAAACATAAATGTTCAAAAGCAAACATTATTTCACAACTTCAGTTGATATCCAATAAACAATATTTCATCAAAAAAGATTGCTGATGATCTACAGATGTTCAGCTTGAGGTGCATTTAAATGAACCTGGGGTGTGTGAACTGAAGCAAGTGTTAATAAATTTCATGCTCAAAGAAATAAAAATGTTATGTTAAAAATACATCAAATAAAGCCTGAATTTATGTTAAACAATTAAGGAAATAGAAAAGAAAGAAAACACACAAAACATTTTTCAACAAAGCACAAGAATTCTCAGTTGTTCCTTTGTTTCCAACACTCCTCCACATTGCTCATCTTCAGATTTTTATACACTTAACCTCTATAAATGACTTTATTTATTTTTTGTTTCATTTTATTTATTCATAATAAACAATACAATATTTAAATATGTATTCATCACAAACACCGATAAATAGGAATTACAATTGAAGAAATAATAATAAAAAATAGTGATAGTGATAATAAAACTGTTAAACAAAAGAAAAAGAACATAAATGATAGCACTCCACATTCCTGCTCCTCATCTCTATTGGTCTCTTCAGCAGATGAAACAATTGATATTGCATTCTTCTTATTAGTGTATTTAAGAGACTCGACAAACAAAACAAACTCCTTCAACTTCTAATGGCTGTATTGTTTACCCAGCAAGTGGACATGAGGTCACGTGGGGTCGCAGTACGCCAAAAAATAACAACATGCGCGTCCGCCTTAGTGCCCCCCCCACAAACTCGGCCGATACATTGCGATGTATTGAATCTAGATACAAAAAAACAAGCCGCCGCGTCATGCGAGCGCATTCAAACAGGAGTCGGTGTTACTCGGGCGTTTTTTTTTACTGTTGCATCGGTAATAACAGCAGCACACTGACTGAAGACAGCAGCGTCTCGCAACTCCGAGCGGAGGAATATCAACAGCGCGTGTTGTGCGGTTGTTTTTAGCGCTTTTTTAAACCACTGACTCGTAAACACGCCAAACTTTGCATCCGCGAAGGAGATACATTCGCTTCTTTTGGTGAGTTTTTTTTTACGTTTATGCCTTTCATACGAGTTTGACTTCACTGAGAAGTTGCAGACGGCTTGCTGGATGGTTTATTTGTTGTTTTGACAGTGTTTGTGTTGTGAACTCAGTACTGCGATTCTGTCTTTAGAAACAATAAACATCCAGTGACAGTTTTGGCATATTTGATTATTGCACGTCTTTTTATGCCAAGCAACTTTTTGTTGTGTTTACAGCAGTGTTTATTTGTGCATTTTGGTTTTAAAACAACCTGTGTGAAACGTTAACATTCATTAGTTTGTTATTGAAAATAACAACACAATTTCTATCTATTTAACAGTAAACGTTTTTAGTTAATGCATTACGGCATACATTGTAAATATATGGAGAAATGTACATGATCTATAATTGATTTCACTACATTTACGGTTGGTACAGTTATTCTCAAATGATTATGAGTGTTTAATAGGTTTATAGTTTTTAATTTTTTGTAAGTTTCTAAAAATAAAATAAAAATTTAAATGAGCTCATTTATTAATTTGAGTGCACTCCTGGAGTTGTCTGTTCAATAATTTAGTTTTGCTATGTTTTTGAGGTTTGTGCTTTTGCATGAAATTTGGTATTATCAGATTGTCATGAAGTGTAAAAAAATACTGTATGGAAAGTGATATTTATTATTATATATATAGTATTTAAGAAGTAACACACACACACACACACACACACATATATATATATGTAGTAATAAAGATAATAAATAATGTATAGTACATTTTTTTATTATTATTATTATTATTATCAAGGTTAACATTAATCTTACCATGGTTGCTTGCTCCATTTCTGTAATCCGGAGTGAAATCTTCATTGCTTTAGAGCTGCTCACAGGAGAGGTGAGTGTCAGGACAGTACGGTTGATGTATTGGAGTGTTAATGGACAGCACTCCTCTTAAGACTCAGCCACATCTACTGGCAGTGCAGTTTCAGTGGGTTCAAGGGATCTGGGACTAAATCAATAGGGTACGTGACACTTTTTTATTTTTTTTTAAACAAGGTATATAGTATTACAGCTCCTATCATGGCTGTGATTAGCTCTGAGAGTTTTGGTTGCAGAAGCACCTCAGTTTCACTCCGGCAAGTGCATCACGCCGCTTCGTCACTCAACGCCGTGTCCATTCAAAGAGGCCGTAATAGCAGTAGTAAAATTTCAAGCACACACACACACCTCGGCAGCTCCAGACGTGCTCAGTAACGTGAAGCCTGGCCCTTTGTTAGCCCCACGCAGTTCTTCCCAGGTGATTTTAATTAGCAGTGTTTCAATGAGCATGATGTTTCACGTACGACACGTGGCGGGAGGGAGGCACGGCTGACCCCGCGACAGGAAAGAGAGGCCTAAATTCGAATTATCTCGATGTTTTTGTAGTCACAGCCTGATTACGGCATTCATCATCGGCTGGGGTGTGTGCAATGCACTGCTTTGCGTTAAAAGGAAAAAGACACATCCTTTTAAGATTAATGTGTGTGCATTGAGAAAAATAAAATCATCATTTGTCTGAGTTAAGATG